TGATTTCTGCACTGGAATTTCCCTTCAAAGCACTTTTCCTGACTACAACTAAAAGCAAATGTCATGTCTGGAAACCAGCTCTGAACTCAAGCCAAGGGCAGGCAAAAGTACAATTATTGTTTTTTATTGAAATTAGCAAGCATAGTCTTGTTATGACTAAATAGAACCAGGTTCAGAAAATGTAGAAAAAACCATAGTGCATTTTAGGCTATGATATCATATCAAGTAAAAGTATCCTTTTTATCCTTTTAAATATTAAAATGACAAATATGGAAGTTGTGGGTAGTTTTTATAAGTTTTACTTTCATGTATTTCATTTAGGAACTGCCTTTCTTAAACACAAATTGTAAAGATAAACTAATTTCATAATTTGAAATTGTGATTTTTGAAAATCATAAGTTCTCTTCTTTTTGTTATCTTTCTTAAATCATTAGAAAATATACAAATGAAAATGTTTTTTCTCTTAGTCCCAGAGAATATTTATGCCCTTCAGAGGCAATCCCGTTACTCAACTTCCCTTGGAGTTTTTTCTTAACTTAAATATATGTCCACATCAAAGAAAGGGTACAGTTTTAAACATGTGAACAATTCTTTGTTAATTATTTTATTCTTCAAATAATTCAGAAATAGAACTCGAAAAGTTTATATTTTTCCACAGCTATTGCTGTGAACTTTGAGTAACAACAAATGTGTCTGTGTGATGCGTGGTTTGTTTTTTTTAATACTGTAATGCAATTTCTTTAGCATTTCCCAAATGTGGCAGCAGCCTCCAGTCTTTACCTGCTGCAGCACTGTGAGTGCAGAAAGGCCTCCTGCTCAGAATGTTTGATGTTTCAACTGAAGGACCTGAAATGTGGGGAACCAAAGTTCTAAAGCAAGAGCACAACTGTTCCCATTTGATTTAAAGTTATGGTACTCTGTGAGACCACGTAAATGGTGTTAACTCCAGGAATAACACAAGGATTCTGTTATCAACTTTAACAACAGCAGTTCCCTCTGTGGTACTCATTTACCTGAGATTCATTTTCCATTCATTTATAATTTCTTTTGCTCTCTGTAATGGTATTTTTAAAAGAAGCAACATATTTAGTGTTTTATTAAATTAAGATTTTGGTACTTAAAGTTTATTTTAGTGAGATAATTACTATATCATGTTTATACTTGTATGAAAGTTGTTTATGTCATTGGAAACAGTAAGATTCTAAAATATTTTCTATGATTTTGAGTATGCAGCTGTTCAAATAATATTTTTAGAAAAACTGTATTATCCTTAGGCTAGTTTAATCTTTAATAAATTAGTCAAAATGGGTCACATTTTGATGAAAGTATAGTAGTTACTATAGATATGATTTAAATTACTCAACCTAATGATTTAAAATCCCTTGAAGATGAATTTAAAAACAAGATAAGAAAAAGTTTAAGATAATTTAAAGAAAAAAGAATTTAACCTAGTTTCTTTTCAAATTCTATGCATGACTTTATTTTAAAATAAAATAATTAAAATGAGGCCAGATGACAGCTTCTAAACAAAACATCTACTGTGCATCCCCCACATGTTTGCTTTTTAGTTAACCACTTATATCATTTAACCACTATAACAGTTATAATTAAGACTACCTCATAACAGAAATCTGGTCTTTGCTTATACATCAGTATACTTTTGAATATAGAAATTCAAAAGAAATTTCAAAGAGTCTCAATAAAATTAGAGAATGACTGTTCTTTTCCAACAAAATAGCATATGCCTTGGCTGGCTAAGTTTACAGAGTGTGCCGCATGGGACTGGGGGCGGTGTGGGAGGGCTGGGCTTCCTTCTTGCCCATCAGTAACTCACCTGAAGTTACACAGGCTGTGTGGCCTATTTTGCCTTCCTTTGGTAAAGTTCTGTGATTCCATGATCTGATGTGGGAAGAAAATCTTGAAATAAGATGGCACTGAGAAGGCATTCATGCACGCTAGGGAGAGATGCCTACCTCTTTCAGGTTGGAATATCCACACACCTGTGATAGAGCCTGTGTTCTTTGTCTACTCCACTTGGTCTGGGATAATTAATACATGAGAGTGGGGGAGAAAGGAAGGAAAAGGAAAGGAAGATGGGAGAGAGAGAGGCCTTGCTTTGTAACTCTATTGGGTGTTAATAATTTGCATTTGGCTCTGCTTCTAATGTCTGGAATCCTCCCACTCCCCCATCCCGCTACTGTCACCATAATTCAAGCTGCCCTCACCTCTTATCTGAACTACCGTAGTATCCTCCTAAGTGACCACTCCAAATCTGCCCTTGGCCCTTCTCAGGTCTAAAAGTCATCTCCACCCAGCAGACCTGAGTAGTTCTCTTTAATACCTGTATCAGGCCACTTATCTGAGAAAAGCCACCAAGATTTTATCATCAAACTTGGAATGAAACTTAAACTCCTATCTTGTCTCCAGCCTGTTTTTCCAAACTTAACTCCATTCTGTGTTTCACCTCACTCACTGTGTCTCCGCCAGAATGCCGTTCCTTTTCGTTCCTCAAACCTGCCTTCCTTGTTTCCACATTAGGACTTCACACGCACCCCTCTCTGCTGGCCCTCCCTCACAGATTTTCACGTGGTGTTCCCTCTCTCTCTCTGTGTATTTTTTACCCAGCACTTGCTTCATGAAAGTTTTGACCTTTGATCATCTGCCTTTCCCTACTAGAACATTAGTGCTATGAGAACACGGTCTATTTCGTTCATTGCTATAACTGCCTGATACATTCAGCCATTCAGAACTTTTGAGGACAAGTGACTGTAGTTAAACTTTCGGAAATGATGTGAGTAGGAATCATTTTATCATAGGCATAGTGTTGGGCTCTCACTTCATTGTTTTTAGTGACTAGGTTATATGAGATCATACAAGCCTACACTTAGCATAAACGCGATCCCTTTCACAGTGGGTTATTACAGCAGGTTTGGAATTAAGTATCAGTACCAGTTAGCAGTTGGTTCTACATTCCGTTCATGGATAGAAATACAATGTTGATTCCAATTAATATCAATATTCCTGTACTGCCAAGGCCATCTGACAGGTTTGTAATTGGGAGTAAAAAATGAGTAATTATATTTATTAAAGACATTTAATGCCAAATTTCTAATCTGTTTTATTTTTTGTGCTTTGTCTAATTTTGACAGTGAAATCTAAATAACTATTTTGCAATTCTTTCAATCCTTATATTGGCAACTTTACGTTGGGAATAATTTCCAGCAAGAAAATTGCTTTCATGTATTTTATAATGCCCAATTACATTGACATTTATTTCGTTTTACAGATTTATGAAAGTGGTTTTTTGAGATAAAGCTTATTAGATTATTTCACCATGATAAGTGTTGCTTATTTTGGTGAATATAAATGAATGAAATTGAATTATTTTAAACATATGAAGTAATTATTTGTAAACAGTAGTTTTTCACATTTGGTTTGTGTTTAAATGAATTTACCTGTTGAAAAAAAGTCATATATGTATTACTTTAGAAGTCCAAATCCAAAAATAAATATTCTTCAAGGCACAAAGTTCTTGGAAAGTACCTCATTAAGAAAATCTTATAATTCCCTGATCACTGTAAGTAAGGGATTTGAATCTTCACATGGCATCTGTTTGGGGTTACAGGAAGGTTATGCATAAGTCTAACCAATGTTTGTAAAGTGATTTAGTCTGACCTATACAGGACCAGAAACCCTCTCGAAATGTGCCCTTACGAAAGGTAAGGTGGCAAAAGAGATGATACTTAAACGGGCTAAAGGAAGTGGGTTGATGGAAAATAAAGAACTCTGTGACTCATGGTAATATAAGAATCAGGGTATTCTAGGTATCCCAACATCTTAGCTTGAGCTGAGATACGCTCAGAGCACTAGTAGAGCAGAGTCTCTGCCAAATTGACAGATAGATGCTGCTAATGTGCTGTCTGCCAGGTTAAGACAGGCCTAGGAGCTAGGGGAGGACTACGCCCACAGGTGCAGAATGTAGACCTAGAAGAGGTGAGACAGTGGTTAACGGCAGGGATTGCTTGAACTCATTAGAACTGAGATGGGAGCTAGAAATAAAAGCATCATCTCACTCATTAAACACTTTTGTAATCTGGTTGATAATTTGTCTTTTACAGTTATGTAATTTGCTTTTTAAAAGATAAGGTTGTACCTTAAACTTTGTTAATTACTACCACTTAATTATTCTGTTAAGTATAGACTTCACATAGATAGCCACATATCACTAGACCAAATCTATTCAAATTGTAGGGGATAGGTCTTTGAATTTTTTAAAGTTATTATTTTTCTTCAAGGGGGAAGATTAAACCAAGCCATATTTAGAAAATAAAGTCAGACATGGAGCACATAGTTATGAATGCAAGCAGCTGAAAAGGGAAAAGTCATTTTGGTTGAAAGGCAGGTGTTGAATATCTGCTAAAGGGAAGCGCAGTATTTGGAGGCTGCACCCAGCGCACACACTTGCACGGGGAAGTGAGGAGCAGGTTTCACAGCCACCTCCTCCTCTGGCCTTGCCACAAATCCCTGTCCTCTTGGAAAAGTCATTTCATATCTGTGCACCTCAGACTTTCCTAATATAAAATGAAAGGATTGGGATAGATTTTCTCTTAAGATACCTTCCTGCTCTAAATTTCCAAAATTCAATGAAAATGAAAGCCTGGTTCATAGCCATAAATGTATACCAGGAGATTTAGATGACAGCCTAGCCAGAGCCTACATTATACTTGATTTCTTCAGTAACATTGAGGCAACGGGAACATATGATGCATTCCTCATAGGACACATGATAGTAGTGACTCTCGTGATTAAATGACACTAATTTTTAATTCCATTCACTGTCCTAGCTGTTACTTGTATGTGCTCTTTAATGCCATCATTTTCCTTCATGAAGTAATACGTACTTAGGCTTCACTCCTGAAATACAAAAGTCTTTCTAGTCCTTATTATAAATGTGCAAATGCTATGCTGACCAGTCATATTGTTGTGTTCTAGAGACCGTGTAATTGGTTTGATGATGACTGCCTGTGATCTTTGTTCTGTGACAAAACTGTGGCCTGTTACAAAATTGACGGCAAATGATATATATGCAGAATTCTGGGCTGAGGTATGTCCTTGATTCTTTTATTAACATAGATAAGAGAAATTAAATGTATGGATGCTAAGAATACCTTAGTTGTTCATGTTGATAGTTATTTTAGAAAACTGTTGTGAATCATATACTGAAGGATTTAGCCGTTATGCAGATACAAAGAGAGAATGATCATTCTTTTACACGTTACTGGCATATGTGTCTAATTCTCTGAGCTTATTCACCGAACAATAGTGTGACAGCTATCTTACTTAACAACTGATCTTTCGTTCATTCAGTAGGCATTACCGGCCATCTACTTTAGATAGGCACTGGACAAAGTACTCAGAGGATCCCATAATATGGGATATATCCACCTGCAGTTAAATATTCAGGAGGATTGTTTTGCACCATAGACATTGAGAATATGTAAATATAATCAATAGTCACCTCACCTCAATTGAGAATATGTAAATATAATCAATAGTCACCTCACCTGTAAACTATGAGTTCCTCAGAATGTATGGAATGTTAATTCGTAATACTCCTGAAACAACACATAAATGACTTACATTAACACATTTTCTTGACTGAATTATGCAATTTATCAGTAATGTGCATTGTACTGCTCAATTTGCTTATTGAATTGTATGTAAGTAAGTAGAATATAATTCTCCTATCCATTTGAGTCACAAATACCTAGGTCTTTGCATATTCAAAAATTACTTTGTGAAAAAAACTATAACTCTTTTGAGTACCTCTTCTGGTTTGATGAAATAAAAGTAAATTTGGAGGACAAAGCAGCTGGAGATTCAATCATCTGTCTCACTCATACGGAAGAATGTATGTAAAACATAAACAGCAAATCATCCACAAGTTTAGCGGGAAGAGTTTATCATGTTGATTTACTTCATAATGGTAAAGCCAAAGTATTTTTTACTGAAGGAAGATCACAGGCCTTGAGTTGATGATACTGCTAGCATGATTTCTCCCAGAATGCCTTGCACATCATGTATGCATGGTTTCGCATGAGCTTTCTCTTTATTTTATTGTGTATGTGTCAGAACCTAGTTACCGTCAGACTCGTAGGAAGAGTGATGTAGATGTACAGTTGACCCTTGAACAGCACAGGTTTGAGTTGTGTGCATCCACTTCTATGCAGATACTTTTCAGTAAATACATTGGAAGATTTTTTGGAGATTTGTGACAAAAATACAGAACAAAGTGGCCTAGAAATATTGAAAAAATTTAATTTAGGTATGCCATAAATGTATACAGTATGTGTAGATACTAGTCTGTTTTGTCATTTACTACCATAAAATACACACAAATATAAGATAAGTTAAAGTTTATCAAAACTTATGTACACACTATTATAGACTGTGGCGAGAAATGGAAACAAACATAAAGATGTCATATTAAATTGTAACTGCATGAAATTAACTGTAGTACATATGGCACTACTGTAATACTTTTGCAGCAACTTCCTTTTGCTATTGTGGTGAACTCAAGTGTTCCAAGTATCCACTTAAAATGCTGTGCTTGAGACACTCTGTGACACTAATCATCTCTGAGCAGTTGTTTCTCCAGTAAATCATTTACTACAGTAAAAAGTGATCTCTTGTGGTTCTTGCATATTTTTCATTGTGTTAGTACCATACCGTATAACACCATGGCACCTGTATAGAGTTATGCTAGGATGCTGGAAGAGCTCTCAAGAAGCAAAGAAAAGTCATGACACGATAAGAAAACGTTGAGTTGTTTGATACATTCCCCCAGATTGAAGTCTGCAGCTGTGGTTGCTGACATATTAACTTAAATAAATCCCATGTAAGGATCATTTTAAAAAAGAAAAGGAAATTCATGAAGCCATCTCTCCAGCAATGCCAGCAGGAGCAAAAACCTTGCACTGTTTGTGAAATAACTTTTTATCTCATACTAAAAATGCACCTTTTGTTTAGGTACAGGATTGCTATGAGAAAGGCATAACTATAGATTCTAACATGATTTCTATATTCTAGATGAATGTGGAAAATGTGCAGTTGTTAAAGGACAACTTAAAGCAACAGGAAGGTGCAGGATTAAAAGCTGGAGATTTTAATGCCAAAATGTGACCAATATGTAACGGAGATTTTTTCCCTTTCTATTATTCACTGGTTATTCAGTCCACAGACGTTGATTTGGCTCCGTGCATGTTCTCAGGCGCAGTCTTCACTGACCTCACCATAGTCCATAGGAAGATGCAGAAATATATTTACCAAGTCCCAACAGTTGATCCCAGTATCTATAAAGTCCTGCCTTTTCTCTCTATCCTCATGATCATCACCAAATCATACCTGGGGTACCATAGCTTTCTAACTGAATTCCGCACCTTTACCTTTTAGAATTTGTGCAAAAATAACGAATAATGTGGTCTTTGGTGCCAGTTTGCTTGAGATTAAAAGTCTGCTTTGGCACTTGGTATTTAACCTCAGGCCAGTTTATCAGATAGGGATGATGATAATTCAGATTCCATCAGTACCCTGCCTCAGGTCCTCTGCTGTAATGCAGACCAAAATCGACCTCCGTGTGGACAGCCCATGTGGCCAGCCCCTGCCCACTGCCTGTGCAGGCATATTTCCTGTCTCAGCCCCTTGCTGTCATGTGGGTCTTTGTTCCCCACAGCCGCTGCCTGGACCGCGTTCCTGCCCTCTGCATTCTGTTACAGCCTCAGATTGGCTCAGCCCTCGTTATAGGCATGGTCCATCGCACTGGGTTCTTTTTCATTTTAGCATTTTTGTTTTGAGCACATATTCAAATCTGTTTGTTTGAAAAACTGTCTTGTTTGACGTGTCAGGTCTTTGAGAGCAAGGGGCTTAGTATGTCTCTCTCACTTTGGATACAGAAGCAAAAAGTTTGAGACCACTGATTTTTAATTAAAGCAGTAACAATGGAGCAGCAGCTGTGCTGGAAGTGGCTTTGCTTTGTCAGGATGAGTACTTTGGTCCTGTATGTAAAAATTCCTAATTATGGTTATAGTAATTTGTTTGTAGGCCCTATTTTAGCAAGTCTGGGAAAGTTTCTAGACTGTACTTCTGATTTCTGAAAACATGACTAACATAACTAAAATAATAAAGAAATGTGAGGGAAGAGTGGGGAGTTAGGAAAAATAGGAAATCTTAAGGAAGAAGATTGTAGCAAATTTTAACTTTAACAAATAAAAAGCAAGATAATTTATAAAATCTGTAAAGTGGGAATAAGATATCTTAAAGTATTTCATGAGGGTTAAATGAAATAATATTTACAAATTACTTAGCTCAGTGCCTGCAACATAGTGAACCTTTAGTAACTATTACCTATAAGTGTAAATTGGATGATGTGTGTAGTCAGTTGTTCTATGTCCTTACTAGCACATTTTAGCAGACTATTGTTGCTTTTTCTTCCTCTGTAAATATCCTCTGGAAAGCCACACTTCACTGAGTTCCATGCATTGGAAGGTCATTTGAAAGAGAGAAGGGCCTGGAGGGTATTGTGTATCTTGTTATTATTGTTTCTTCTCACTGTTTACTGTATCTCCTCTTATTACCACGTTTTTCACTAACTTCTGCAAAATGAAACCAGTAATGATGGCTGGGCTTCTGGTAATTCAGTAGTGGAGAAAATCAAGATAAAGTACAAAATAATGGTACATTAAGTTTTTCATTATTTTGACATTTTTTTCCTTGGGTTAACAACCACAAATATTATTTGTTTTGAAGAAAATGAATGAGTAAAGGGAATAATTATATAATATGAAAATTTTTATGACAATTTGAAATTTGAGAAAGCATGATTTTCCCCCCATTTATTTTAGGGTGATGAAATGAAGAAATTGGGAATACAGCCTATTCCTATGATGGACAGAGACAAGAAGGATGAAGTCCCACAAGGCCAGGTATGAATTATTAAAGTAAATTGTAATTGCTTAAGTCAAATAGTTTAAGGTGGGCATCAAATCATACATGATTGGAAAGCATATGTCATCTTATAATATGTTAAGGATAGTCGAGGTAGGTCTGGTGATTAATATAGAAACTTTAGAAATGTACCTTATAGGAGCTGAGAACTAGAAAAAGAACAGCTGTTTACCCTGGAATAATCATCTACTCAGATGAGCCTTCACTTGCTAAGACACTCAGGAAAGTAGACTCTAAAAGAGTTTATACTTTTAATCTGGGTTTGGCCACCACCTCCAAGCACTGATTCTGTTCCCAAGGCTAAAAGCCCAGAGAGAAATCCCGAGGGTCCGGCTGCCTTGTGGCCTGGAGAGACTTAGTGCTCAGGGGACACAGCCTAGAACCACCAGGAACCTTCTCCATTTAGACAGAGTTTGGGGACAATAAGGCCAATGTTAGGAAATCTCTGTGGATTTAAAGAATTCATCCTGCCTTTGCCGTGACTCCTTTCTACAGCTGCCGTTACAGTCAATACGCTTTCTTTTCTGACTTGAAGTAGAGTGGGTGGATGAATTTGGGTTGTTATATTTTTAACAAGCAGAAAATATTTTGTCATTGGTTAAACAAAGATATTTTTGGAAAGTTACATTACAGATTTTTATTCAGGTCCATTTTTTTCTGACAAATAATGCTTACTATTTTAGTACATTTTGCGTTTTGTCTCAGCGTAAGTTGACATTATCCTGTTTTCAGGTCTTACTACATAATTTATTTTTTTTCTAATGTTTTCAGAGGTCTTGTTTCTCATTATTTTGCATCTGTGTATGTGTGGCGTAATGTAGTTCTGAGGGTATGATTTTTGTTAACTAATCTTCTAATGGCATAACAAGGAAGTCATGGGCAAATAATTATGATACAGATAAGTTTAGAAAATGTTTCAAAAATCCACAGCATGGTGGCTTTTGATAAGTTCTCAAATTTCCCTACTTTATTTAAAATTAATTCATACAAAATTTAGGCACGTCCACAGCTCACAGAGGGCACCAGCACAACAAAGAGGCTGAATGAATGGGCATTGCCTCCACTCATGCCCCTGTCTAGTTTTTCTGATGGCGTGCTCACTTTTCCTTCTTGATTTGAAAGGGGTCCTGAATACCTATCGTGTTTACTGCAAGTGTATTTTGCAGTTTTTGTCACTTTTTACCACTCTTTATGGAATTTTCCCATATATGGAGTCACAGCTGCTAGTCCTTTCTGTTTGGTGTCTGCTTTTCATATTGTATTTGAAAAGTTCTTTCTCACCTTGAGATTAAATATATTTGCCTATATTTTCTTTCGTTACTTTTTTATGACTTTACGTTTGATTTGTTAACTTATTTGGAATGTATCTTGTTATATGATTTAAGATAGAGATCTAAAATTATTTTCCATCCAAATAGTTAACAGTCATCCCAACAGAATGCATGGGATAGCTGGAAATTTCTCACTGATGCTGTTAGCCTATGAGTTTTATTCTAGTGTTTTTAGTTATGATAATACTTTGTTTTAGAATAGTTTGATTTTCATTTACAGAATAAGAAAGGTTTAAATAAAATTTTCTACAATCCGTTAATATTTTACCAACCATATTGCTTCTAAATAGTTGATTACTGTGAAATTATTTTTTGCCATAATAATGAACTACTCTAATTTCTAATAATGAATATCTTTTCTCGGATCTTCTGCTCCATGACATCTGCTAAATATTAGAATAAAAAGCCTCTGCATAAGCCATAAAGTTAAAAATGGAAATAACACAGGCGCTATTCTAGTAAGAGTGCTGTGACGAAAGACTTTATAACAGGAGAAAGCAAGAAGGAGCCACGTAAATTAGAGCCTTCTGTATGCTTCAATGCACCTCAGTGAAGTCCAGTATTTTAGAGAAATCGGTGAGCTGTGGTCACCGATTGGGGGTCACCTCGTCTAGAGAGCTCATTTTATCTTGTACATGCTGCAGTCACTTGGCCGGCAACTTATGACTCGACAATCTGTGTTCTCTGGCTAATTGTCGTGTATCTTTTACATCAGGTCTTCAGTAGGCCGGTCTGAGGTAGTGTCATTTATTTACATGGTGACCCAGAATTCCTAATAAAATTGTTTAAAGTACTACAGATTTTAAAACTTTGAAATCTGATATATTCAAAGAACAATAAATGGAAAGAACGATGATAAAACCAATGACATTTATTTTAATTCAAATAAGAGGGCAGGAAGGATGAATAAAATATTGGGAGACCACACAAGGCACCGAAGCTAAGAGTAGCAGCCGGGCAGAGCGCACTGCGGGCAGCCTGAGCCCGAGGGCGGAAGGAGCCATGTGCGCCGAGCAATAGCAGGCTGCACGCTCCAGTGTCTGCAAGAAAGCACCGAGGGCACCGGAGACAAGCACAGGCCTTGAGTAGCCACTGGCCGATCTATTAGCAGAATGTCAGTTAATGTACTTGGGTCTTAGATTTCAACAGGTATTAACTTTTGTAATATGTTTTGAATCGTTACGTGTTTTATTTCTAGAATGCATTTTTAAAAACGCTCTTTAATACTATTCATGGAACCCAAATATCACGTACAGCAAAACTAGAACATTTAATCTTATAATTCGGCTTCAGAAACAGAACATTCACTTAAGAAATAGAAGTATCACCAGAATCGCTAATGTGCACTTTTGTTTCTTGTCCGTGGTTTTTGCACGGAGGCAGCTTGGGTTCTACAATGCCGTAGCCATTCCCTGCTATACCACCCTCACCCAGATCCTGCCTCCCACGGAGCCTCTCCTTAAAGCATGCAGGTATGTATAATGGTTGAAGCTGTACGGATATTTTTCTAAAACCCTGAGATCTGTACCGGATTGTTTTACTCCATCGGTGTGTTGTGGGCTGTGTGTCTGTCTAGGTGTCGAGTTGTTGTGCTCAGGGGCTCGGGGGCCTCCTTACCTGGCTTCCGCAGGGGTGCGACTTATTCCCTTTGCTTCGATTCTCCTCAAAGATGAGCCTCAGGCATCTTGGGTGCTTGGGCAGCTCCTTCTGTCTGCACTCTGAAAAGAGGGACAGTGGGAACAGGCTGGGGGCTGGGGCCAGACATAGTCAGGACCCAGATGGCCAAGTGACTGGGAGGGTCTCTGCCTCAGTATGGGGGACCCTTCCTGCTTTCTTACACCTACGTTCAGTCAGGGTGGGGTACTAGTTGTTTCTTTCAGAAAGGGAGTTTGTGCGCTCCGTGCAATGCCAGCTTGGTTTCAGGCCTTACGAGAGCTGCATCTGTGCTGAGGGGACCTTGTCACTGGAGGTCCTCAGACCTGGGATAGAAGGGCCTTGGCTGGGGTGCCTCATTCTATGAAGTGACAGATGAAGTGGGTCCTGCAAGAGGAAGAGGGCGCCCCCCTCTTCCTGACTCTGCCAGCCTCAGTATGTCCCTGCAGTACACTATGCATCCGTGAAGAGTGTCTATTCATATAAAGTCCTTCAGACACCAAAAAGGAGGAAAATGTTTTTATGATTATTTTGCGGAGGACCCGTCTATTCAGGATGCTGTGCAGTAAGAGGCTGACAAAATCACACAGATTCTTGTTTAATGGAAGAAGGGGACCTTAAGTGGATAACCCCTTCCTCTTTAAGTCTTTTTTTTTCCTTCCAAAAAGACATTTAAGCCATCTGTTATTTTCTAGATTCATATTTCTCCCTATTCCTTCCTCCTTTTTAAGAGTGAACTCAGTGAAGAACCTTGGATAGTTTTGAAGATTTTCACTTTACTTTATGAATTCCCTCTGAGGAAGTCAAAGGGTGATAGCCAGCAGCTGTGCATGTGAGTCCTTTCCAGGTGAATTGGCTCGGGGCCATGTTTTAACTTCTTAGCCACAGCTGTGCCTGGGCCGAGTGGAGTGCAGGCACTGTGGGAGAGCGGAGGACAGACGCTGGCCAGGGAGTTTTACACAAAACCAGAAACTTAATATACTCTTAATTTCTGCTGTTGAAACATTTTTTTTACATTTTTCAAGGAAAACAAACAAGACCAATAAGCAATATTAAAAAGTTTATATATACAGTATTCAAGAGATGGTTTCTCCTTCCTCCCTGCTTCTGTGGAGATGAATGTAGCATCCCACCTTGTTTTGTTGAGCCTTAATTGACTTTAATCCCTGGTTCATTTATTAATGTCTTAACATACTACAAAGGCCTAAGTCATAATGGGAAATATAGGGTGTGAGGCCAGATGATACTTGAGAGAATTCTGTTATAAAAGTGTGTACAGAATTAAAGAGAAAGTGGAATATCAATGTAAATTCCAAGATGTTTAAAAAAACTAGGCAATCTTCAAAAGTCCTTTCTGTTGAGAAATCCTGTGTGTTTTACGCCAGGTATTTGGAAGCCAGGGCATGAGTGCTGACTGTGCATGCCCAGCACTGCAGGGAGCTGTGGAGGCGCCTTCCCAGTGGAGCTCTGAGAACAGTGTCCACTGTGTGGACAGCTCCGCCACACTCCTGCTGCAGTACACTTGGCTGGACCACAGAATCTCTTCACGGCCATTTGAATCTTATTAACACTTAAAAAGTTTACGATGTATCATTGGTGTTCAAGGAAACATACCAAAATTAGTGTATGGCTTTTTCCAATACATCAGAAAGTTTCTAGGGTCTGGAAAAATGATATTTGATGATAGGTTACAAAGGTTAAACGGGCCATACTTTTCAGTTATATTTTAGGGTTTTGTCTATCTGAATGTGGCTTAGCCTGTTTGCTAAAATAAATTTGAGAGAATTTTGAAACTGTGCCTCATAGGAGTTTTGTGTTTGCTAGTGCCAGGATTCCCTTGTGACTTTACACCTGAAAGTGGCTAAGAGCCCTGCCGGGGTAGCCTTGTGGAGTCAGATGGTTGTGCAGTAGTTGTGATCACGCAGTTAGAGATGACAGTGCCCGTGACACCTGAACTACAGACACCGCAAGAGAAAGAGGAGAGGACTAGAGATGTGAGGCTGCCTCGGGTGAGGCGTTAGCAGAGCACAAGCACAGTTTTACTGTAAAAAGAAAATTTCAAAGTTTGTGCCAGGCGTAACTTAGGATGACTTTATATATGACACAGTGTTCAGAATAAGAACCAGGGTAAGGTGAGGAGGTTAGAGCCCTCCAGGGAGACACACTCTTGGCACTTCTCAGTAGGAAGGTCCGTGTTGTCACCGAGTATTCCACCTGCTGTGGCATCTCCTCCTTTCCAGACCCTGCAGATTCCTCAGAAGTACACCCTAGGGCTCTTTCCCTGTACAAGGTCATCCTTCTTACTAAGAAAGGATGTACGCTCAGCCTTAGCATTGCTGCTGCTCTTGCAGGCCACAGCAGATGAGCCAAGATGCCCCTGACCCCCTGCTGCTGCTGAGCCTCTTTCCTGAGCAGCCGTCACAAGAGCCCATCTGGCCGTGTCACACTAGTGACCATCAGCCGTCAGAGGGCCTCACAAAATGCCGCTGTGCAGAGCTATGGCACAGAACTGTTTGGTTAGTTTTCAAGACAAAGTCCAGAACTCCTTTAATAAGCTTCACCTGAAACTGCATCTTTGATCCCTAGGGATAATCTCAGTCAGTGGGAAAAAGTGATTCGAGGGGAGGAGACTGCAACTTGGATTTCATCCCCCTCCGTGGCTCAGAAGGCAGCTGCATGTGAAGACTGAGCCCTGATCACGCACAGATTCTCATCTTGCTTCTTTGACATTTTTTCCTTTTCTTGGGGGGGGTGGGGTGGGGGGCACCTACACCTGGTAACTGGGGTGCAAACCTCTTCGAGAAGGTAACATCAAGTAAATAAGTCAAGCAAAGGACTTCCTGCCAGTCTCCTCTGTGAGGCATCATAGACACTGAACAACCAGGACCACCCCATGTTCAGGAATCAGCTGGCCAAGTGACTCCATTTGACTTGCAAACCAGCCTTTTCTAATAGGCTGATATTGCTGAGGCCTTAATGGAAATGGACAAAAATTCTTCAGAAGGGGTAATTTTCCATTGTATCTTTCTAATAAGGAGTGAAAATGGTACTATTATGGTATTGTACTTGGGCTCTGACATCAATGTTGTTTTGATGTTGTTGGTTATAAATAGGAATTTTTACACATTACTATCGTGAATGTTCATGTGTGACCTACTTGTAATTAACGAGTTGTAGTCTACAGCCTCAGGACAAATGTCATTGAGGTTACAGAGTAAGCAGCGATGAGAAAACGTCAAATTCTTTTTTCAGAGCTTCATGAATTTAGTTAGACAGACTAAACATATTCTTTTAAGTTCAAACTAAAGGGCTGAGATGAATAAATTTAACACTAAAAGAAATAGACCTTAAGAGATGAGGTATATGTTACAACAAATCTCAGAACTTCAGGTATCAGTTCAAAAGATGACAATTTAAAAATTTTTTTTCATTGATGTCTTGGCAATTTTACTGAACCCTTTGCATAAAGAACAAAATAAAAGCAAGGCATTGTCAATTTTTTTAACAGACAACTCTTATGGATATAAAGTGTACATTTTTCATAATGATTTCTTTATATTTTCACTTTGTGTCATTGCAGAATTTTAGACTCATATTCACAATGAAAGGTTTATTCGTAACATTGTTTAATTAAAGTACCATACATTTCTTTTTTAAACATCAAACCATAAAATGTGTCTTTTGTGATTTTACTTTGACCTGCTGCATTCACCTCTCATTTATCTCTTTTGACATGCTGCATGGTCATATTTCATGAGCTTTCTGTCCATAGCACAGAAACAGAAGCAGGAAGTAGTACAATCATGTTGGACCTTCTTTCCGTTCTCTTTACTCTTCTCACAGATCAAATCACTCCATAGAAACCTGTGGTTTCTTCTATATGGCTTTTTGGTTGACTAGTATTACTATACAGTGTAAGTGTTTTGAACAATACAAAAGTAATACTCTGCACCCCTTCCTACGGAGATTATAAGGTAGTCACTTCTGGTGCATATTAATACTTCAGAGATTTTTAGCGCAATGGCACAGTAACCTCCAACCCTGTTCTAACCTGAAGGAATCAGACAGAGACTCACTCAGGAAGTGACAGGCCAATCATAACAGATAACTTACTCACTTTTCACGTGGCAGGAAACTGGAATATCACTTTTATTAAAATAAAATTGAAAAAATGCTTCTACATATTTAATACCATAGGCATTTTGTTCAGATGAGCCTGGTTTGTGCAAGATTAAATCAGAGGCTTCTACAACATGGTTTATTTATGCCGTAGCAGAGTTGGCTCTACATAAGCACTGTTCTTATTTTAAAATTAACACTATGTGTTCAGTTTTCTTCTGGGCTTCTGAAAGTTGCCATCTTCCCTACATGGAGCTCCATTTGCTATTTTAATTATACACTATGACATAAAATGTAATAACTAAAGAAAGAGAAATACCACTGTGGCTAGATGTGTACACACACATATATATATGGAAGGATGTAATATATGTAGAACACACACATAGATGTATATAGGATGCACACTCATATGTATGTAGACATATACATACGTGTATATATGATACACACATGAGACAAGGAAAGAGAGGAAGAGAGAAGCAAAAATGTCGGAAAAAATATAAATCAGCTGGTTCTTCCATTCCTTAAAAATAATGACTTTGCTTGATGGAAAATACATATTACTTGATAGTTGACAAGAAAGTGTCATTTTTTGTTAGTGTATTCATATTGAATTTGAACAAGTTACATATTTTTCTGCATACAAATTTATGAAGCTGGATTCTACGAAAAACAACTTAATTCACAAAAGTTAATTTGGTCATCTAATTTAACTTGGGAAAGGATATGTTATTTAATATTATTGTTTAATTACAAAAATTTTAAAAGAATATATGAATTCTGTTTTTTAACATAGAAAATAATTATGGAGTTAGGACTCTCATGGCTACTTTTGTAGTTTTAGGTGATGATTACAGAAAATTCTCTTAATTTATTATAGGCAAGTGTATTATGTAATCTCTATTTTGAACAGTTTCCCAAAGGAATGTGATTGGATTTACTGGTTGGTTAATTTCTTGTGAAATATTGTCATAATAGAAGCACAGCTTGAATGAAAGACTGTATTTTGATATAAACTGTCAATATTGCTTTTACCATGTGTAAGATTTACTTAGTAATCACAGATGTACGTAAAATAAAGGGACCCAGGATGCAGTAATATTTAGTTAATAATTTGTTTTGAAAAACATGCAGTTAGGAATATTTTTGTATTTTGTCTGATGTGTTTAGCAGACAAACATCTGAGTTATATTTCTTGTCTTTTTCCCAGATCTTTTCTTAAAAGAAAAAATATGACACCAGAAGCCAAGAGATAGTTTTTACTAACAACAGTTTTGATGAGTTCTTATTAAGGCCGTATTGTGTATTGTGCCAAATTTTCCACCTAGTGTAAATTTAGTAACCAGCTACGAGGATATGCAGGATATTAAGTTTGCAGAAATTTATATTGGCTACATTGGTTTGTAATAGACAAGTTTTATAGTCATATGCAATTATTCCATTATCTTTTGGACATAGCAAATATGGTTTTTAGCTAAAAATGTCCTTGGAAACATAAATGCCTGCCAATAACATGAAATATTGAATTCAGGCAATGTGAATTAATTAATTAGAAAAAGGTCAAAGGAAATGCAATGGATGTGGAAGCTAATTCTGAAAAACAGCCCTATTACTAGGGCAGGGACTCTGATCCATTTCCCACCTGTGCTTCTCTCTAAGAGGTGTATGAAAAACCCATCTTGCAAAATAGACCAAAATATTAGAGACAGTTGTTCCCATTCCTGACTCTTCAATGGAAGGAAGGTACAGATGTTTACAGGGGTGCCCCACATGACTTGTTCTCACCACAACAAAAGCAATGAATTGGAAACTAGATTTGTTCAGTATAGGTTTCCTCTTATTTGGCATGCTTTTTAGATTTTTTTTCATTTTGTAAAATCTCAGTTAATTTTTCTTTACTGATATATTCGTGTATACGAGACATGTTTGTACATGATATAAATAGATGCACAAATCCTTAGATACCTGTTTGTTTGTTTTTTTTTAATAGGTTTAGGTTTGGGTATTGTGTTTCTGGTCTTTTAACTCAAAATTAAGGTTTGAGCTTTAATAGGACTAAATTATTCACCATGCCTTGGCCTGTGCCTTTATTTTAAATACTGCAATTATACTACTTCATTCTTGTATTTATTATTTTGCTTTTCTTGCTTAACTGTAATTGAAAACATTTATAGGCACTCATCTACAGTTCATTTTATCAAGTTGGATGAATAGGACCATTCTCTCTTCATCAGATTTCTATCCTTTATTTGACTTCATTGACAAATACCCTGGTGACTATAACCAACGAACTGTTCAGATTCAGTCTTTTCTGCAAGAACTTCAAAGGACTGTGACATTGGTTATGATGTGATTTTGGGGGGTTTCCAGTACCTAAGCATGATTTAGATTTTTAAAATCACTTCTCTCTACATATTTCAAACATATGTTTGCTTTCTACACTTTTTTATTTAGGGTTTAATTCTTTAAAGACTATATTCATTTAATCACTATAGTAGATCTCTTCTATTGCAAGTATTGCTCTGATTTTTAAATTACTATAAAATGTAAATCAGCCGAATATGTTGTCTGTTACAGCTTCCCCATGCTTTCAGCGCATGGCTGTGAGATTTTTACATGTGCATAAGTATTTCGCCAATACACATATTGCTGACTTCTTTAGCTATTTATATTACGTTTAAATTAGTAATATCTAATGCAGTGCACACTTTTTTTTGTCTTTTTTACAATGGAATAGTTGGTTGTCTGAAGCATTGGATGCATTTTATATGATAAAAATGGCAAGAAAAATAAGAAAGTGTCAGCAGTGTGCTGGTTCTAAATTAAGAAGATAGAACAAAGAGAAAGACATTTATGTTACCCAAGAAACACATTTAACATCCAAAGAAGCAATGCTGTCCTCACTTAATGTTTCTCTTCTCAACCCAGCAATGGAGAGTAGGGCTTGCGAAGCCATGGAGAGCCCGCCTGCCCCTTCCTGCCAGTGGGAGAAAAGTAACCAATGGCAAGAAGAGCCAGGCATGGCCCTGTGGGGTGAAGGATAATGTCACCTCAGGACCAAGGTGGAAACTTACAGCTGAATCCAGGGTTGCTAAGTAGGGAAGTCAGTTTACACATTTCAGCTTTCATCTGATATTTTTGAGGTACTGCATATTTGTGAAAGTTTAAGTAGAAAGGTTTTGTTTCTATTGCAAGTTCTAAAAGTATTATCTAATACTCTAGCCCAACTAAAATATGACATCATGGGTGTTACAGCCTTCGTCTTTTTCTTTGGTCACCTTAATACCCAGTCCTATGCTGTATCACAAATAGCCTATGTAAGTGACATATAGGAATATTATTTTCCATATGATCTGTTGTATGGTGTATATGCTATGTGTTCATTTCGTGTGCAAGCTGAGTGCAATAGACTTACCCAGAGAAGGTGTTTGTATACTAGACCCCTACCTATTTGAAATTACATGCTTGCCCAACACACTGTGAAATAGTTACCAAAATTTGTACAAATGAAGCACTGTCATTCTTTCTGAGAAGACAAAACGGCTTTCTTTACATGAACATATGAACAAGAGAGATCCTAGGTCTGTACGTAGCTAAGGCATCTAAGAGTTTGCTGTTGATAATCTTGCTGACCAAAAACTGTTGGAGAGTAATACAGATTACACACCATCAAAAATACAGTGCTCATAAAGAAACGGCTTGTAAAGTCAATGAACCTGTGTCCAGAATTTTAGTAGGCTCTCTATTGGAAGAAGAAAGAATTTCAAGTTAACAGTATCTAACTTTATCATAGTTGATAAGTTAGTAAATTTTAAAAAATGATTTTGTATGTATGACAAAAATCTTTGTAAAATGCGCAAGTGCAATAATTTAAAGAGGTCTTAACTTTGCATTTATAAATTATAAATATTGTACATGTGTGTAATTTTTTCATGTATTCATTTGCAGTCTTTGTATTTAAAAAAACATTTACTGTTACGTTTGTATAATAGAACAGTAATCATTTATTATAATCTAGGCAAGTTGTAAATAAATTCATAATTCAAACAGCCAGTATATATGCATATATGAGTGTTATATTGCAAAATCTTTGTTTTACTTACATGGTTAGAGCAACAAGAATTCTTTTGTTGATATGTAATTATACACATAACATATATATATGTATGATACATGAAATATATTTAGAAATGTTCATAATTTTAATGGATATCCTTTGGTGTGAATAATTGAATACAGAGTTTTTTAAATATCATCTTTCACGTATATCATTTGCTCATTTTTGGGGACGATAACAGACATTTCACAAAAGATCATTTGAAAACACTCCAGGCCTTGTTTGCCTAGAAAGCACCAAGTGTACATTGAATTAATGTGTTTTGTTTGCTTCACTCATTTTCTAGCAGATAGAAGAAGACATCAAATGTTAAATGTTGTATGATGACTTGCTAACTCAAAGTCCATTCTGTAATTTTAAAGGTTCAGATACTGTGTAGGGAGTCCCTGGTGCTGCAGTGATGGCTTCAGATTATGGAGCCAGCAGCACGGAGTGCTGACCCGCAGGCTTCCCAGGGAGCTTCCCTGGCCCTCAGAGTCTTTCTAGCAACAATGCAAATGCACACTCACTAAAAACACACCCTCGTGAAAAGAGAAGTGCTGGGCAAAACACAGTGGTGCATGTGTGTTTATGTGTACGTGTTTGGATTCTTTCTGCTATGGGAAGGAACGCATTCAGGGCTGCAACTTCACATACTGTGTACACAGTGATAAGTGTACTCATGGTTTTATCTTTAAAACTCTGGATAGGCCAGACGCAATGCCTCATGCCTGTAATGCCAGCACCTTGGGAGGCCGAGGTGGGCTGATCACAAGGTCAAGAGATTGAGACCATCCTGGCCAACATGGTGAAACCTGATCTCTGCTAAAAATACAAAAATTAGCTGGGCGTGGTGGTGCATGCCTGTAGTCCCATCTATTTGGGAGGCTGAGGCAGGAGAATCGCTTGAACCCAGGAGACAGATGTTGTACTGAGCTGAGACGGTGCCACTGCACTCCAGCCTGGTGAGAGTGAGATTCTGTCTCAAAAAAAAAAATACTTGGTAAAGAAAAATATGTTTTTATTTTGACTATCTCTGCTTGCCATCAGATGAGCAGGCAAATGATAAATATGTAAGATCAAAAAGTTAAATTTTATCCCTGGATCCTCCCTAACCTTAAACATATTAGAGGTAAATGTGAGAGGTTTTTGTTTGTTTTTTTAAGAGAGCTTAAATATATGAATGTCCACAGCCTTGTGAATTAGAAGGAAAAGGAAATCTCCAGTATCAAACTCTTACTAACGGAATGCCCTCCGTATGCATAGCACTATACATATGGTAGACAAGATTTTTGTAAACATTCATTCCCTGCAAAACAATAAAATGCTGTGCTGAAAAATAAATTTCCTGAGCTAATACATACGTAACATTAGTAATGCAAGCTGCAGATTGGCCCTCTGTAAAGCTGATCCGAATCTGAATCCTCATCATAACTATGCATACCTTTGATTTTGCCATCAACTGTAATGCAACAGTGTGGAGGAGAGTAACATTTCTCCATCACACGTATTTCCTAATGCAAGAAGAATCCCCAGAAGCAACACTTATCAAACAAAAGCCCACGATTGATGCCATTCTCATAAGAGAAACTAAGCTTGATGAGACAAACCAAACAGAAGCATGCCCCTACATGTCTGCAGCTTTCTCCTCTCCCACGTCCTTCACCCACTATCAAAGACGCCTTCCACGGCAGAGCTAGATGTTTCCTCGACAGTGAAGAGCAACAGATTGTGACTAGAAAATCAGGAATTTATTTGAAATAACAACTTCCAAATTCTTAGCTGGCAATTGTATATATTCAGATAATGTCTAGCTTTTTTTGTGATGTCTATGTCACTAATTAGAACTCTTGCTCAAAAGGATGACCTTGGAGCATGGTAAGTAGTCATTAAAAAGAAAATAGATTCAAACATTTTAACATGCAGAATGACTAAGGTACACAAACATACTCGTATGTATATTCATATATATTAAGAAAACATTTACCTGCTTTGCTTTGCATTATCTAAAAAAAGCCAAGTATAAGACCACCATGTTTCCTAAGTCCCCTGCATAACTGGATTATGCCTGTGAAATCAGGAATGTTAGGGGTTGGACTTAGAAGTCGTGGGCACAGCCTCCCATCAGCCAATGCAAAATTCCTTACTTACCATTTCTAATTGATGCTCATTCAACAAGCCATTCCTCAATTGGATAACATTCTACCATGATTGAACCCAGACCACTGGTTGACAGCTGTAGTTGCCAGGAAGTTCTGTCCAAAGTTGGGCTGAAATGTGTTGCTTTATGATTTCTACTCCAACACACTAGTTCTGAGCTTGCAGCCACACAGAGAAGTCTACTTCCTTTGCACCTGACAATCTTCCAGTTAATTGAAGAAGGCTATCATGCCTCCTCCTGCTCAACCTCATCGTTTTTAATTGCTTTAAAATGCAAGTTGGCTAAGGCACCTGTGATATTCCTGACATGCTCCCCTGAGAAAACTGGCAGAAGCCTTCTACTGGGTCCTTCCTTACTACAAAATAACACATTGCTAAAGTGCCTCAGCTGGGACTAGGGTGACCTCCTACCTCCCATGGCCTGTGGCTCAATCCTGGAAAAGTCACACCATTCCTTGAGCATCCCATGTCCTTTAGAGTATGTCACGTACAATTCTCATGGGAGATAGGCGACCTCTTGCCTCCCATGGCCTGTGGCTCAATCCTGGGGAATTCACATTTCTTGAGCTGTGAGGTATACCCCAACCAGGTAGTAATAGAAGTTAACATCTATTAAGCACTTACTATTTGCAGACCCTCTTGAGTTCTACTCATCCCAGCTCAATCTCACAACAGTTCTATGAATTATATATATTAGTGTCCTTCTTTTAAAAATCAAAAAAATGAAAGGCTGAGAGGTTCAGTAGCTGGTAAATGAGGATTTAGGGGTAGGTACCCCAGCCCACTGAGGCTCTGAGAGTGCATGTGTCAACTCCCTGCTATCCTGAAATGTGTCTTGCTTCAGTGCCTGTTTGTAAAGGTTGCATCTTTACTAAAGTAAGGCACGTAAAACATTGGTTATCAAGCATGGAGTTCCTCATGAGCAATGCTCCTCTTCACTCCTTGCCTGGATGACTGCCAGCACAGGAAGTCAAAGAGAAAGAAACAAACAGCATTCCACTTTTCCTTCTCAAAATACGATTTGCAAATTCACAGTAGATGAAGTTTTGGGAGAAGTTTTCATGAGTATTTACAAGCTAACAATCTGGCTTAAGATATTTTTACGAGCCCCCAGCACTGAGGGTTGCCTGAATTGAGGCAACCCTTCTTTGAGAAAGAAGGCAATTCACAACAGCCTGTCTTAAAGAAGAGGCCCAGCCCTGCTCTCACCCAAAGTGTGAACTGTGGGGACAGAAGAGCAAGGCAGAAAACCCCCAGCACAGGTGCACAGACTTTATCCCAGAGGGCCCTTGTCCCTGTATTTGTTCTACAGCCATTGGTGTGCTGTATTCAGGAGATGCATCTCATGTGCAAAGACACACATAGGTTCAAAATAAAGGGATGGAGAAAGATTTACCAAGAAAATGGAGAATAAAAAAAGCAGGGGTTGCAATCCTAGTCTCTAGTAAAACAGACTTTACACCAATAAAGATCAAAAGAGACAAAGAAGGGCATTACATGATGGTAAAGGGATCAATGCAACAAGAAGAGCTAACTATTCTAAATATATATGCACCCGTTGTAGGAGCACCCAGATATATAAAACAAGTTCGTAATGATTTACAAAGAGAATTAGACTCCCACACAATAATAGCGAGAGACTTTTCACACTCCACTGTCAATATTAGACAGATCAACAAGACAGAAAATTAAGAAGGATATCCAGGACTTGAACTCAGATCTGGACCAAGTGGACCTAGTAGACATCTACAGAACTCTCCACCTCAAATGCACAGAATATACATTCTTCTCAGCACCACATTGCTCCTACTCTAAAATTGACCATATAATTGGAAGTAAATCACTCCTCAGCAAATGCAAAAGAATGGAAATCATAACAGTCTCTCAGATCACAGTGCAATCAAACTAGAACTCAGGATTAAGTAACTCACATAAAACCGCACTACATGGAAACTGAAAAACCTGCTCCTGAATGAAATAATGAAGGCAGAAATAAAGATGTTCTTCGAAACCAATGAGAATGAAGACATAATGTGTTGGAATCTCTGGGACACATTTAAAGCAGTGTCTAGAGGGAAATTTATAGCAATAAATGTCCACATAAGAAGTGAGGAAACATATAAAATGGACACCCAAACCTCACAGTTAAAACAACTAGAGGAGCAAGATCAAACAAATTCAAAAGCTAGCAGAATACAAATAAGATCAGAGTAGAACTGAAGGAGATAGAAACACAATAACTCTTCAAAAAATCAATAAATCCAGGAGCTGGTTTCTTGAAAAGACCAACAAAATAGACCGCTAACCAGACTAATAAAAAAGAAAAGAGAGAAGAATTGAATAGATGCAATAAAAAATGATAAAGGGGATATCACCATCGTTTCCACAGAAAACACAAACTCCATCAGAGATTACTACAAACATCTCTATGCACATAAACAAGTAAATCTAGAAGAAATGGATAAATTCCTGGACACTTACACCCTCCCAAGACTAACTCAGGAAGACGTTGAATCCCTGAATACACCAAAAACAAGGTCTGAAGTTGAGACAGCAATTAATAGCCTACCAACCAAAAAAAGTCCAGGTCCACATATGTGTACAGCCAAATTCTACCACAGATACAAAGAGGAGCTGGTACCATTCCTTCTGAAACTATTTCAAACAATACAAAAAAGGGAATAACCCCTAACTAATTTTATGAGAGCAACATCATCCTGATACCAAAACCTGGCAGAGACGCAACTGAAAAAGAAAATTTCTGGCCAATATCCATGATGAACATTGAGGGAAAATCGTTAAAAAAAATACTGGCAAACCAAATCCAACAGCACATCAAAATGCTGATCCGTCATGATCAAGTCAGCTTCAACCCAGGGAAGCAAGGATGGTTCAACATATGCAAATCTATAAACGTAATCCATCACATAAACAGAACCAAAGACAAAAACCACATGATTATCTCAATAGATGCAGAGGCGCCTTCAACAAAATTCAAC